ATACAGCATTTTTAGCTTGCATAAATCCTGAATAATGGTGAAAGAGAGGGAAAGAAAGGCTTCTTGTTGCAGTAAAGAGCATTTGTCACTGTCCCTGGTTATTAGTATCCTCTGAGCATTGTGCAGGGGAAGCCACGCCAGGATTACATTGCTGCATTGACTGGAGATTTCTTATTAGGAAAGGCGAGGAAGGCTCTGTAAAGCCCATAGGTCAAAAATATAATACACTATTCCCCACCTCTTGTTTCCTGATATTATGCTATTAGAAGAGATAAGGGAGAGGTGCAGAGTCTTAATTTACAAGAGAATGATGAGCCATGGCTGGGGACTGTTTGTATTTTGCTGGAGCTTATTATTTTATCTGGAGTGTAATGTGGTGCTCAGTGCCCCGAGCTGGGAACAGCCACTCCTGGAGGGGTGGAGGGGACTCTGCTGTGCTGGGGGTGCTGCACAGGGGCTGTGGGACAAGCCTTGCACCTTGTGTGCGTGCACCCCCGAGAAAATGAAGGTGCTGGAGTTGAAAAGAAACCCTGAAGTAGCTGGAAGAGGAGTGTTAAATAATGCAGTTGCACATTGTCCATGAAAGATGGCTAACCATGAGTAAACATCCACAACAGTGTTTGATCCCTTCGTGTTTACTATTTATTCATATTTATTATTCATAAATTCTGTCACAAATGTTGGGCCTGCACCCCAGTGAGACATTTGCATTTTATTTTAAGTTTGATCCCCCCCCCCAGCCCCTCAGTTTCATGAACTGAGATTTAATGATTTGCTTTTCCACATTGCTCCCGTGCTGGCTCTCCCTGGTTCTCCCCTTCTTGTTTCAGGAAGAGATTTCTAACATGGAAAAGTGATATTTGAATAGATTCCCCTAAGGCAATCAATTTACTTCTAATTTGTCTGGAACTAAGCTTTTCTTTGTTGCAATGAGAAAGGATTGAAACTGCTGTAAAATTTATTAGCTTCCAGGAAGATTTTGAAATGAATTTTTTAATGATCGTGCTGTTTGCTGTACCCAGGAGCAGTGTCATCGTGATTACAGTATAATCATGGGGTTGCTGAAGAAACACCGAGATGTGGAGGTAGAGCCAGGCTCCTGCACCAGGGAGCTGTGGCACTGCCCAGGTGGGAACGGGGGCTTGGGGCTGGGGCTGCTCACCCTGGGCTTCTTCCAGTCCCTCTTCTGCTCCCCTTTTCGTTTTCAAGCAACTCCTCTGCTCCTCTTCCTTGCTCCCCGTGTAATAGCACAGATGAGCTCTACTTACTCACCTCGGCAGAGCTGCTCTGACATGGATTGGATTGAACTGAGCGGCTGTTTGGAAATGGAAACTCCAGGGACTATTGTCATCGCCCAAATTGCACCTTAGATTGTGTAACAGCACATGTCATCTGGCCATTTATCAGGAATATTACATTCCCAGGCACTTGCACCTTGCTACGATTTAACTTTGTCTCTTTGGCCAGCGCTGCAATTCCACTGGAGATAATTCAATTGCAGTGAGAGCTGAGCGGAGAGAGCTGCGCCTCACTGTGCCACAGGTGCGTGGGTGCTGGACAGGAGACAGGGGATCTGAGCACCATGGACACTCCTTAACCCCCCTGTAACGAGGGAAGAGCCCTTGCTGTGTGGAGCTGGAGGCTCTTGCTGCAGTGGCCACCACGTGTCCTCTGCCAGCTCCTCCTGGGCTCTGGCTTTTGGGCATCCTCCCTGTGTCCCTGCTCCTCTGAGCAAGAGCTTGCATGGTGGGATTGGGAAGTGCTGAGGGTCTTGGCTTGGTGGGGGGGTTTTATCTCTCCCAGCAGGTCTTCCTGCAGCTGCTGGTTCTTGGCACAGGGGTGGGGACAGCCTGTGTTGGCTCACCGTGCCCTGTGTGTGGTGGTTATTACCTGGGCTTTGCTCCGTGCATCAAGAACATTTTGTCAGTGCAAACAGTAACAGTTGTATTGACAAGGGCAATTCTAGGGCTGTGCAAGAGTTTCCTGTTGTCCTGTTTCTGGTTGTTAAAGTGGTAAAGAACAGGACAGAGCAGCACAGTGATGGAATGTGAACGTGAATGACCATCCTGGGTGCCATCAAGGCTGGGTGAGTCAGACTGAGCTGCAAAGGGCAGCACCAGGAGCTCCCTGCCTGCCTCTGCTTGGGGCAGGAGGAGGGTGCAGGGACCAGCCCTGGGGTCAGCCACTGAGGAGCTCAGACCCTGCTGTGCATGGCTGTGGACCTGGAATAGCAGAGGAATGGTGTTTCCATGTATCAACAGGCCTTGCTTGAGGCGTAAAAATAGTATTTCATATCAACTACAGGGCTGGGACAGTGATGGATGGGTGGGTAGCTGAAGATCCCCATTCTGCCGTGGAGAAGAGACGGCTGCTTGGGGCTCTGTGCTGGTCCTTGTGTCTGCTGCCAGTTCAGGCTGCTCTGGGCAGCCTAGGCACATGTTGTCCCCGAGAGCAGGATGGTTCCTGGCTGCAGGGCATGGTCTCAAAGCTGAGATGTGTGCTGAGCACAAAAGCAGAGTGACAGAATGTGCCATGGAGCTACCTGTTGGCTCAGGTCTGTGGATGATGGTGACTTGTTCCCCTCTGCCTGTCAGCCTGGCCTCTTTGAGACTTGTTAACATTCCCTTCCTAATACAAAAGATTGAAGCAGTGCAATTTAAATTTAATGTAATGCTTTCCAGCTCCTTTCCTCCCTGCACTTGAGCTGCTGCAGGTTCCAGACAAGCATGGTGATGTCCAAAGCTGATCATCTCCCTGGCAGAGAGGTGCCAGGCCAGTGCCCTTGAATGAACTGCTCTAAAGCACAGGTGCCTCTTTAGGCTTTGAGGAATATCCACTTGCAGTGGTCAGGGAAGATCTCCAATAGTTTCTAGCTGTAAAATGTGCCAGTTTGGAATAAATGGGTCAAGGCAAGCCCAACCTGCCTGTGCTCCCTCTGGAGTGAGGTTTGCCTTGGCTGTGGCAGTCCCATGGATCCGGGGCTGAGCTGTGCTGCTGGGCAGGGAAGGTGAGGAGAAGCAGCTCCCCTGTGCCTCCCTGTGCTGGACCAGCCAGCCCAGCACACTCCCAGATCCAGCTTTTCATGTTTGTGGAGAGACTGAAGTGATGTGTGCTCCAGCAGCACGCCCAAGGTCACACAGCACAATAAATCAGTGTCTCATCGGGGATGAGAATCCAAGATATTTCTGTAGCCCCTCCAGCCATCACCAAGTCCTCTGCTATCACAGCCAGACTACACAACTTTGTATGCCTGTAGCACCCTTTTGAAGTTAAGCTGTGGATAAATAGGGAGACAGCAACATTTTCTAGGCAATTTTTCTTTTTTTCTTAATATTTTGCTCAAGTACTTGAAATTAACAGAATCAAAGTATAAGATCATGGGCTTTTAGAGCTCGGTGCTGGTTGTTCTGTGTGTAGGGCTCTGGGCATCCTTCTCTCAAGCTGCTGTAAAGGCAGCTGCCAAAAGGCAGACCTCCGCCCCTCCACCCAGCCCTGTGCTCCACATCGCTGGCTTGCTGCTCTGATGTAGAGAAAAAGCTGATGTTTTACCCATATATTTTTCAATTAATTGGCTTCTTCTCTCTTTTTAAAAAAAAACCCCTTTCCTTGTTTTTTTTTTCTTTTCTTCTTTTTTTTTTTTTTTGAGGTCTGCCTTTTACTCGTTTATTCTCTGTAAGTGTTAAGCTGCTCATATTTTGGTGCATTGTGTTATGTGCTGAGAATTTTTATCAGCTGCCCTGGTGCTCGCATGTGGTGGAAATACCAATGTGTGTGAGGAGCGGAGGTTATGCACACAGATGTACAGAGCATCAGAATGAACGGCTCGCAGACGGACGGGGAGGAAACCCGGGCTGAGTCTGCACCTTTGCCTCCTTCCATCCATCAAAGCGGCCCCGGCCGAGCGTGGGCTCGTCCGGCTAATGGCATTAGAGCTGAAATTGCTGCCAGTGTGTGCAGGTTATGGGAGGAAGGAGCCACGTCTCTGCGTGGGGAAAGGTTGTGCTTTATGAGGGCTGGCTGCAATTACAGGCTCTTATCAAATGAAGGAAAAGCCGAGACTGAAAAGCAGCCAGGATCCTGCGGCGTTCGGCAGGAGCCACGGTCGGATGCTCAGCAAAGGCTGGGCATGGTGAAACTGCTGAATTTGATTTCCAGCTTTGCACTTGGCTGAGTCTGGCTGTTTCCCCGAGCCTCAGTTTGTCCATCTGTGATGTGGGGGTGAAGCTGTGCGGTCCTCTGGGATTGACTGACAGTGCAGGAATGCACACAGGCCCCGGGCACGAGGCTTCGCACTCGCCTGGGAGCCCTTGGACCTACTCATGGAGGGTCCTTGGAAGGGGTTAAAGCACCAGTCCATATTTCAGCACTGTAAAGTGGTGGTGGGACGGCAGCCCCAAGTCGAGAGAAGGAATCTTTATTGCTCCTGTATGAATAAAGCCCCAGCACTGGGAATGACACATTTAATCTTCAGTGGAGTGGACAATCTTGGAGATTTATAAAGCCTCTGTTGTGTGAGAGGTCAGCTGGGGATTAAGCAACAAGTTAAAACACACATATACAGCAGAACCACGAAGAACCTTCCCTCCTCCCCCTTTTCTTTCCTCCCTCTGTTCCTTTCCCCTCTCTGCAAAAAGTCAAGCTTAAATGTCACGTCAAACCAAGCTTAAAACACGGTGGCTTTTAACACTGGTCGCTAAACCCAGGAGCCACTGGTTCTGAGGGCTTGACACACGGACAGCCCCGTCGTGATGGATTTGCTGCCGTCACTCCTTCTCCAGGCTTCTGTTCTGGTGCTGACAGGTGACACACGACCTATTGGAGATGGAGCTGCAGTCCGTAGAGCGGCAGTTTGAGGCGCAGTCAGGGCTGGAGGTGTAGCTTTGGGGTGGGATCTCCACGGCTGGGGAGGGGGGCAGAGCTCAGCGCCCGGCTCGGCGCGGTGTCCCCCAGGCCGGGCTGTGGGCACCCCATTGACCGTGCCTCGTGTTTTCTCCCCGCAGAGCAGAGCGAGGGTTTCCACTGCCGGGAGGAGTGCCGCATCCTGGGCCACTCGGACAGGTGCTGGATGCCCCGCGGTGCCGTGCCCAGCCGCGCCAAGTCCCCCGAGCACGGCAGGAACGTCATCGCCCTGTCCATCGAGGCCACGGCGGTGGACGCAGAGCCTTACGCAGACTGCAGCACAAAAAGGACCTTCGCCACCTTCGGCAAGGAGGGCGGCGAGCCCCCGGCCGAGGAGCGGCTCGCCAACCCCAAAGGCAAAAGAACGGTGGACTCGGCTGCCTGCAGCCCCAAGGTGAGCGGCGCCGTCCGCGAGGCCGGCAATGGCTGCGAGGCCGTGAGCCCCATCACCTCGCCCCTGCACCTGAAGAGCCCCTTGTCCGGCAAGCCGGGAGCGCCCTACGGGGCCGGGCACTGCGCCGGCAGCCGGGAGCCCTTGGGGAACACTGGCCCTTCCCGGCCCTCCGAGGCAGAGCCCCGGGGCGCGGACAGCGAGAGCAGCGGGCAGGAGGGCAACCCGCTCCTGCAGGAGCGCCGGGAAAAGGACTCGCCCGGCGCCCGGAGACTAAAGGACATCGTCCTCTGAGCAGCGCTCGGCCGGAGGAGGACGAGGACGAGGGACCGCACGACTCCCAGCGCAGATTGTTTTTATCGCTTACCAATGGTTCACAGATTGCTGTATTTAAAAGCTTTCCCTAAATGTATTGTTTATAAGCGAAGCTATCGTTAATGTGACAATCGCACGTGTCTCGCCAGGCGGCAGGGTGTGTGCAGCCGGAGCGGAGGAGCCGCTGTTCCGCTCCTGCCGGGAGGCGGCGGGTGGCGGGGGCACAGCCAGACCCCCCCAGTCCTCAGGAGCGCTCGGTACCCCCTCCTCGGAGTTTATATATTTTTGTATCTCAAAACGAAGATAAATTTCCATTCCCGGAGAGAATTGAGTGGCAAATTCCTTATTCGGACACCTTTAGTTACCACCCCGGCGATTTTGTAGCGGACGAAGTCGCGGCTGTTTCTTGTGTGGGACTGTTCAAAGTGGCAGTCGGGTGAGTTTCGGTTCAAATTCACCCAGCACGAGGTTGTTTGTATTTTAAGGTGTTGGTGTTTTGCTATGGACACCCCTGCATTTATGAATCCTTTTGCTGTCACATACTTACCTGTACTATTATTGTATTTGATATTGCAAATTACTGTATGTCTAGTGATGGCAAAAGGCTTTCAGGCTTAAAAAAAAAAAAAAAAAGAATAAAAAAAAATAAATCACAATCATCTTACTTAAACTTTGGGGAGCCTGCAGTTTGCAGCCCCCGTGGAGCAAGCGCTTCCTCCAGCCCCCACCATTGCCTGCAGCCTCCCCCGGCTCCTGCAGGAAAAGGACAGGGCGTTATGGGAAGGCATTTTTGGGAAAATCCTGCCTGGATTGCAATTGTCGGATGCACTGTGCTGAACTTTTCCCCTTACCCGTTTCTTTTGTATAATTTCGAGGCAATGCATGGAAAGGTTTTTTTTTTTTTCCAGAAGTTGGTTATTTTGGTTTTTTTCCAGTTCCCAGATTTAGATATCCCTCGCCTCCAGTCATTTCCAAGTCAAAGAGATGGAATTATTTTAAGAGATCTAAATTAACTTCTCAATTAGACACACACACTTCCAAGTCAGCGTTTCCTAGCCATGATTGCACCAAGAGTGTGTATGTAGGTATGACATCATGGCATGGATTTTAGACTGTTCCGATTTCTTTCTATCCCTGCATCATAAATAAGTATGGAATGAGCAATAGTGACGTTAATTTAGGGGCAGACAGGTAATATGTAACAACTCTACTAATTCAATTAATGTGCCTTCTTAATGGAGAAAAAATTAAAGCAATTCTTTATTTTTTTTCTCATAATTAAGGACTTTTTTGTGTGGGTACAAATCTACTCATATAAAATTGATTTGAAAATTGAGCTACTTTAATAGCCATTTTGTAGAAGGGAGAGAGGGAAGGGATTCCACAGCTCTCTGCTCTCTTGCAGCGATGATTCCTCAGTGAGGTATGAGTAAGGTAGGAGGATTTCAGTTAGTGTATTAATTATTATTATTGCTATTATTATTAACCCTTCACTGGGCAGATTTTTCCTACCCTCAGTAATGTTTCCTAGAATTTTAAATTGATTATGGAAGGAAAAATATATAGCTCTTGCCAATGTTTGCTGTACCAGCAAGTTGAAATTAGTGGTTTCTAGAGAAAGAGTCTTTCTAGGTCTACATATCATGATAAAGTATTTGTTACTTGATTTACTTAAATGAAAAACAACAAGAAAACAAGTTCCAGTTGTTATTATCCTCAAAATAAAATTGAACTCCAGCCATTTATTTCTTCAGGGCAGATTTATCTTGCCTGAAGCCACAGCTGGTCCGAGATAGATCCAGAGTCAGCCTGTTCCCCCTGCCACTTGCTAGGGCCAGGAATTGGGAAAGAATCAACAAAAAAACAGTTGTCTCATGAAATTTGTGATGCTTCCCTCACTGGTGTGATGACTACCTCATTCAGCTCCTGTCCCACGCATTACCACGATGTCCTGCATCCCTCCAGAAGGCAAACTGGGGGTTTTCTCCCCTCTTCTGGATTCTGAGCCCATTTTTCAGGGATATGTTGTTTCTGTTTCCTGCCTGTGTACTGTTACTGCTGTCATTTCTTTCTGGTTTTTTTCCCCAAATGTGTGTTTTATTACAACACAAGCGAAGGGGAGAGGGGCTGGCTCGGGGCTGTTGGAGTAACTGGGTGTTCTGTAACTGTTAAGCTGAGTTTATTCTGATGTTACCTGGTTTTGTCAGCTCTGGGAGGTTTTTTTGGGGGAGGGAAAGCGCAGAGCCTGCGATGCCCCATCTGTCAGGTGCTCCTGGTTTCACAGAACAACGTGTCCATGTGTCCCCAGCACCACCCCACACCTGTGCCAGGAGGGGACCCGGGTTCCCCATGGCCCGTGGTGGGGAGTGGGGGTCCCCTGGTGCCCCATCATCATCCCCAGCTGCCTGGAAAAGCACCAGCCCTTAATTCTTGCCGAGCTTTGCCCCCTGCCTGCAGAGCTGCCACCACCAGCCTCGTGTTCTGGATGAAAAATAGATGCTAACTGAAAAGGAAGAGAGGGGAAAAAAAAAAAAACAACAAGAAAAAATAGAAACATTTCTCTAATTTACCCAGAGGAAACGTTCCTTGCCACTCTGAATAAAAGCACAGCCGAGATAGAATGTGAAATAATTCTGTATTAAAAGGGGGCATTAAAGAGGTCAGTAAACCCTTATGCCTCCAAGAAAATCATTTAAACACCAGTTTTGTGGGCTGACCCGGGCTGCAGCGGGGGATGTGAGCGAGGGGCCCTTCCCTGGCACAGCCTTGCTGTGCAGGGCCAAGGGGAGACCCAGGGAGCAGCCCTGGCTCTGCTGCCTTGGCCCTCTCCAGAATATTTTGGTACTCCTGTCACTGTCCCTCTGTGTCACTCGAGATGAGTTCAGGCTCCTGGGCAAATCGCAGTCTCTTGGTTTTTTTCCTACTTGCATTGAAACTGGCCATGCAAAAAATGTTCCGAGCTGCAGGGCGGGCAGGAAGGCTTTTTGGAAGGGTTCCAGATGTAATTATCGTGCTTTTTAATAACTTAAACCTGTCCTCAGATTTGGTTTAGGAAAAATCGCTGGGATCTGTCGGTTTCCTTCAGGCAAACTTGCTCTGCTCCAGGAGAGCAGCGAGCAGCGAGGATTCTCCCCCGAGCATGACGAGGACCCCGACTGGAGCAGCTCTGGGGCTGGGGGCCAGCGCCAAGCTCTTCCCTTGGAGCCCCTGGCCTTCCCCTCGAGCTGCAGGGCTGTGCCAGGAGGGATGGAGGAGGCCTGGGGACACAACTGATGGCTGGAAAAATCCCCCCCCAAGCACTGTCTGCTGAGGTTGTTGCCGTTCCCTGTTTGTTGTGAGCTGGAGGTGGCCTGTGAATCACACTTTGTGCAAAAGTGAATTCCTTTTTTTTTTTAAATTTTTTCCAAATAGGAAACGAGTTGCTTTTGTGAAGAATACACTGTCTGATGAATATGTTGAAATTATTCTTGGGGAGGGGGGGGAAGGAAAAAAAAAAAAAAATCTAATTTTGAATGGAAACACATTTGTCTGTCATTGGGGAAAATTGATGGTCTTGTTGCTCCAGCTGCTTTTGCAGCTATGGGTAATCTCTGATCCAACCTGTGAGCTGCGGTCCCCGCCGGGGAGAAGCCCAGCCGCTGCGAGCTGTGCCGGGACTGAGACGGAGCCTCCGCCGCTGGCAGCTGGTGTTCAGCTGCTGCTGCCTGGGCTGGGGGCTCCAGACACCCTCAGAGCCGGCTCCAGACACCCTCAGAGCCGGCTCCAGACACCCTCAGAGCCGGCTCTCCCCGGCGGCCGCGGCACCGAGCGCGGTACGTCTCGTCATGGTGTCTCCGTTGCCGAGTATATGAAGAATAAATTGTTGTATATGCTGATATGTATGTTATGTACATTTTCACAGTGATTGAATCATTGTAAACAACAAAATGGAAAAAGGAAAAAAAAAAAAAAAAAGAATCACCATTCTGTCTATTTTATGAAGATGATAAAGCAGCTTTATTAAATTATTATGATTCTGTTTCCAAATGGTGTACCTGCCACATTGGGATTTTTTCATCTGATGAGAACTTTGTTTTCCACCTAAATGTGATTTTCTTTTCTCTGCTTTGAGCATCTAATGCATTTTAGTATTAAAGCAATTATTGAATAAAATGGAAAGTAAGTGTTTGGTTAAACACGCCTCAGTGGGTTTACTTTGCCGGGCTCCAGGTGCTGCTCCTGCAGAAGCCAGCGCATGCCTGGGTGCCACCCCAGCCCTTAGGGGGCTCTGGCCGGGCAGTGCTGGCTGTGACACTGCTGATAGCGGGAGCAGAGAGCTGGAGATGGGCTGTGCTCCGACAGCACTGGTGGGATCCCATCCCTGGTCCCCTGAGCTCCCCACCCTCCCCAGGAGAGGGTTCCTGGGGCTGGGCAGGGGTCTGGCTGTCTCTCCCCCATGGCAGGGAGTTTCTGGGGGTGCTGAACTCACCCCGGGGTTCAGAGCCCTGCTGTGCCCCCGGCTGCAGCGAGGGGCTCAGCCTGAACACCAGTGGGAGAATAAATTAGCAAAGAAAGCAGGCAGCCCTCACTGGGCAAGGTTCAGAGCTGCTTCAGAGACATGGATCTTGTTCCTGTTTCTTCTGGACATTATTCTATATTACGTTTGATATTAAACTGGAATATCTAAATAGAGCCAAATTGGATTAAGAAGCAATGACTTATTGTACACTCTGACTGTTAAGCCCACAAAGACAAGAATAAATAAATTGAAGGAATCAAAGGCGTGAACGCACAGAGAAAAAAATATTGAACATCTCTCTTTTTGAAGCAGGGCTCTGCTCAGGGCTTGTTGTGGGCCCAGAGGGGCAAGTGGTGGTCCCTGTTCTGCTGTTCTGTTGTCTGGATCCAGGTTCTGCTCCCGTGTCTGGTGCTGGTGGGGAAGGTGCTGGCCCAGCTGCCTGCTTGCCTTGGGCAGGAACCAGTGTCCAACTTCCCCAGCAGCCCCAGCGGGCTTCCACTTGTTTAACTTCAGCTGCTTTTTGTTTTGTGGTGTTGTCCTTTCCTCCTGAACGTGATGTAGGCGAGCATCCCCGAAGAGCCGTGGCAGAACAAACACAGGCAGGTGCACAATGACAGAGCTCACCTCTGCTCACAGCCCTGCTCCCTCCTGCCCAGCCCTCCCCTCTGCAGGACAGCTGGCTCTTTGGGGACAAGCTCTGGGCTTTAGGGTGGGCATCACGCCACTGGCGGGGTCTGGGCAGCTTCTGTGGGGACATGGCTGTGATCAGTCACTGCAACCCAGCCTGGAAGATAAAACAACCCAAGAAAGCAGCACTGTGGTGCTGCTGTGGAAAACCCTGCCGTGGCAGTTTCCATTAATACAGATAAAAAATTGAGACACAGGGCAAACAATATTAACCCCATCACTGATCAAGCTTAAAAGCTTTTCCCAAGAAAAATTGTCTCTGGATTGCAGTTAAATAATGGGCAGGGGGTGGCTGCCTGCAGAAGCCTCTGCCATGGTGCTGGCAGGTGCTCCTGCCAGGGCAAGGGAAGGTGGCTGGGATGGCAGCAGAGGGTCAAACACCAGGCTGATGCCTTGCACAGCTTTAGGACATCAGGAGCTCCAAGTTGGTCCTGTGCTTTAGGGGAAAGTGGCACAGAAGCAGATCATCAGCCTTGGCAGAGGCCAATCTATGCTGCCTGAGGGTGATGAATTGTCTTCCAAGGCAAAAATAAAGAGGAATTATGATAATAAAACCTCCAAGGGAGAAGCTTAGTGTAAGGGTTTTCAGCTTCCCAGACAGGAGGAATGGAGGCTGATTGGTGGGAGCTCATATCCCCAAACGTGGAGGTCACTGGGGCAGGGTCCCCCTGTACCCTCAGGGCTGCCCATCACCTGGGCCAGCCTTGGTGGATGTGAGACCCCAGCAGGTCAGACCTGCTTGGCCACTGCGGTGCTGGTGCAGCTTCAACCCTTGGAAGGGCTGGATGTGAGGTGGGGATCTGGGCAGGAGGCTCCAGGGGTGGGGACTGCAGCAGCTTCATCCTGGCACTGCCATCAGAAACCTCCCTTGGTGCCCATGTGGAGAGCAGGCAGAGACAGGGCTGTTTTGACTGAGAAAGGGAAAATTAGCAAACAACAATCTCCAGGTTATTTTTTCCCCTTTTTCTTTTTTCTTTCTTTCTTTCTTTTTTTTTTTTTTTTCCCTTTCCTAACTCTCCTGATGGGGAAAGAACCTTTTTTTAAACTCCCCTCTCTGTGTCTGCTGCACACCAGCTCAAAGGCTGTTCTTTATGTATTTGATTCTCTGTAAAATTGATCTTATTCTCTTTGGAGGAGTTAGGTTTAAATCACAGGATGAAATTCTGGCCACAGTGAATCAATAACAAATCTCCTATCAACCTCAGCCTGGGGTAGAGACTTTGGTCATGGAACTTAAGTTCCCTGCTTCCCAGTGGGAAATGTCATCTGTTGATGGAGGACATTCTTTCCTTGCTCAGCAAGTGAGTCCCAAGGTCTCCATTAGAGCACACTGGTTCTCCTGTCTTCCTGCTCCAGCCCTGCCTGCCTGTGCTTGGGACTGAGAAAAGGGATAAAGTCTCCATCTCTAAATTCCAAGGGAAAGCCTCCAACCTGCTGCCATTTGCCTTCCTGTGGTTCCCCCTGCAGCTCTGTCAGGAAGGTGCTGGTGGGTGTGAAGGCCCAGCACAGCAGTGGCTGGCCTGGCTGGGTGAGGCAGGAGTTTTGCTCAGCTGGCAGTGAGCTCTGGCTCTCTACCCTCCCTCCTCCATCCTTAGTCCCAGTCTCCAAACCCTAGCATGGCTCTGCATCCTGCAGTGCCTCACCCTGGCTCATGGCCTAGGGAAGCTGTCCAGCACTGACACTCACAGCCATGCTGAGAGGGCCTCCCAGAGAAAAGAAAAAAAGAATTTTTTACTATTTATTTTTTTTTCTTTTAATTTTTCCTTCTTGTTGCCATAGTAAATTCATCCACCTCCTTGAAGGTGATGGGGGCTGGCTGGACAGCCATGACCCTGCCAGGGGAAGGGTCACCCTGGGTCCCCTGAGCTGCTGGGCTGGATGGTGGCAGGGTCCTCCCTTGGCAGAGATGTCCCCCACTGCAGAGATGTCCCCTCTGCCCACAGGTGTCCCCCCTGGCAGAGATGTCCCCTCTGCCCACAGGTGTCCCCCCCTGGCAGAGACATCCCCCCCTGGCAGAGATGTCCCCTCTGCCCACAGGTGTCCCCCCGGCAGCCCCTCTCCCCTCCGCAGCGCAGGTGGAGGGAAGCTCCCCCGAGGCAGATGGTAGAGCAAAGCTGTGTGTTTATCGGAGGATAGCGGTGGTGTTCAGCTGCTTTTGAAGTCTCCAAGGAGAGCTGGGATATTCCTGATGTGCTGTTCAATGAGTCACTGCAGGGCTGCTGGCCGGCGTTAGGCGCTGGATGCGGGAGCGGCAGCGGGACCGAGCCCGCCGGAGGAGCGCTGGGGATCCTCAGTGGGTGATGTGCAAAGTTTATTTTAGCCTGAGCCGGCCTGGAACCGCTGCTCCTCCACGATGGAGGAGCAGCCTGGGATGGTTTCACGTTGGTTTTGCACCTCAGTTTCTCATCTGCAGCTCAGCCCCGGTCCCTGCCCGCCCCTGGCTGTTTGTAGCGAGCCCTGCCCGCTGTGCCTCGACCTCCCCAGCATCCCATCCTTTGGGGTTTGGGATGCCCGAAGCCCTGACAGAGCCTGGAGCTGAGTTTTGCCCCAACACTCAGTGCTTGACACCCAGATAACTTTTTTTTTTGTTTTTTCCTGGTCCTTTTCTCGTGCTGAGCCATGGAAGGAGGAGGCTGAAGCAGTGCCTGGTGTCCGGGAGGTATTCAGTGTTAACAGAAACATTGACAGGTCAGAGTGTGTTTCTTAAATGCTCCTTTTTCACTTTTGCTCCTTCCCCTTGGACTCCCTTCCCACCAGCAGCACCTTTAGCATTTATCTCATTCGAGTCCTCTAAGCAAATCTTATCTCTACATTTATTGCATCTTTGGGAATAGTAATTTTCAAGTCAGCTTTCACATTACTCCGTATTTGTTACTAGTCCTCTGTCGAGGGAAAACCTGGCTCTTTATTAGTTCTCTGCCTGATACAAAACATTTAATTTGAACAGAAACCACCAGGAGAGAGATACATATTGCTTTTCATAACCAAAGTGTCAACATCTTGACCAGACTGTAGCTGAAGCAATCTTTACCATATGGTGGATTTTTATACTTTAACGTCACATCTGCATCCCCGCTGCCTCTCCTTTCATTCCAGAGATGCTGTGCTGGTGATAAAAGGCGCTGTCTCTGTGTCCTTCCACAACACAATCACAAAAGGACCCCTCAGCAGATAAGGAACTAAACCAGAGATACAATAGCTGTGGCTTCCCACTGGCTTTCTGCTCAATAGCTTTCTGCTATGCAGTTAACAAAAAAAAAGGAAAAAAAAAAAAAAAAGAAGGAAGAAAAAAAAGAAGAAAAAAAGGGAAAAGAAGAAAAAGAATAGCAATGAAGGAGCATGTGTTGGGAAAATAAACCCCAGTAAATCCCAGGGAGGGCACGGCTGCAGAACATGCTGGGAATAGCGACTAGAAGTGGGCTGAAACAAGATGAAACCGTTTTTTTTTCCAGATTCCTGGTAAATGGGATGCTCCCCACAGCTTCACCAGAGCTCAGCAACTTTCCAAGTATTCAGAGTTGATTTTTGGGAAAATGGGGCTGTGCTAACGTTGAGTTTTATTGCAAGGTAATGCAAAAACCTGTATTAACCTCTGTTGGATCCTGATAGGAACAGGATGTACAAAGTTTCTCGCTTGAAAGCCTGTTCAGAGCCCGGTGCAGAGGGTGTAACTGTCGCTGAGCAGCAGGCAAAGGTTGTGCTCAGCGCTCTGCTGAGCAGGTCAGGGTCTGCTGGCAGCACTGAGAGAGCTGTGAGCATCACCTCTGGTGTCTGCTGCTCCTCATCCCCCCAGTGCTGCTCTCCATCCCTCCAGTGCTGCTCCCCATCCCTCCAGTGCCTCTCCCCATCCCTCCAGTGCTGCTCCTCATTCCTCCAGTGCCTCTCCCCATTCCTCCAGTGCCTCTCCTCATCCCTCCAGTGCCTCTCCTCATCCCTCCAGTGCTGCTCCTCATCCCTCCAGTGCTGC